TGGAGAGCGCTGAAGGATGAAGTGCAAACTGGAGAAGGCAATCTACGGTTGGAAACAAGCTGCGAGCACGTGGAACACGACAATTTATCGCGTGTTCATTCGGAACGGCTTCAAGTGTTGTGGTGCCGACCAATGCGTCTACGTGAAGCGTTCCAGGAACGGCTTCGTATACGTGTGCTTGTACGTGAACGATATTATCATTGCGGCAAAGGCACGAGAGGAGATCCGTCAAGTCAAGGATGCACTGAAGAACGCCTTCAAGAAGAAGGAACTTGGCGAGGCCAAATTCATCCTAGGTATGGAGATCAACCACGACACGTCAGCTGGAACGCTTATGATCAAGCAGACTCGATACATCGACGACGTTGTGGAGCGCTTCAATCAGCAGAGCGCTAATGATGTGGAGAACCCGTGCGCATCAAATGTAAAGTTATCGAAGGATATGTCGCCAACGACGGAAGTGGAACGCCTCGAGATGCGGTCGAAGCCGTACCGTTCCTTGGTTGGGTGTCTGATGTATATCACAACATGCACTCGGCCGGATATTGCGTACGTGGTGACATAGTTGTCCCGTTTCCTCGAGGACCCTGGGCGACAACACTTAAAGGCGGCAATTCGAGTTTTTCGCTACTTGAAGCCTACGCGTGAGCATGGATTGTATAACAAGACCGTTTCGGGAATGCCTTGGCTCAAGCATACACCGACGCAGATTGGGGCTCCAACATCGACGACAGGCGTTCCGTATCCGGTGCCGTGTTTATGATCGGGAACGCCCCTGTGGTGTTCAAGTCGAAGTTTCAAAGGACGATTGCACTCAGCTCGGTGGAAGTAGAGTACATGGCTTTGATCCTGTTAACATAAGAGGTGCTGTGGACACGTACGATGGTCAAGGACATGGGTCATGAGCAAGCGGGAGCGACGCAGATATGGGAGGACAACCAAGGTGTTATTGCACTGGCAAGAGACGCCGGATATCACGTTAGAACAAAGCACATCGACATTTGATACCACTTCACTCGTGAGAACGTGGAACGTGGAACGGTCAAGGTCGACTATATCGACACGAAGTTCCATGCTGACAAAAGCACTTGGGACGAAGGACCTGGCGTTCCAGCGCGATACGACTGGCATTAAGAACAAGGCTACCGTGCAGTAGTGGTGAGTGGGAGTGTTGCAGTTGCACCGGCTCTGCACGGTTAGGCGTGACCGTTGAAGCGGTTACCGAACCGTTCCACTATTGGCTGGAACTGCTTCTGGAACGCCATTGGGAGTCCACATGTTATATCGCAAAGATTGGATGATGACACATGGCATTAGTGGATATGCCACACTTACGAGAAGACAACAAGAGAAACAACCGAGAGATAGTGTTTAGAGAGACATGATAGACAGTTTTGGTTAGCACTAATTTACTCACTTCGGTATTTGCCTCTTTTTCAACAAGCCCCAAACCAATACTATACAATTGAAGCAGTAAACTACAATGGTTGTAGTACGCAGTGTTTGCGCACCGTTTGCCGACAAATAGATCGATCTTTTAGCTATCTTGTAGATAATTACGGTGAATCGTTTGGGAACTTTTCACTTTCAGAGACCACGACTTCCGCAAAAATGTACTATAGTAATCATTAGAAATGTTAACCAACGAAGACAGTGATTTCCCTATCATTACCAAAAATCAAGACTACGATTTCGGGATTGCTTCGGAATCTACGGTTTTGGTCTGCGGGCAGCGAGTGGTGCAACCACTGAAGGCGATTTATTATTGTACGTTACATTGTAGTGTACGGTTGTAGCTGCTGAAGCAACACCGTGTAGCTGTTATTGGTGTCTGACCCGCCAACACCGACACGATAAAAAAGGAATGCTACGAAACTGCTGCAAACAGAGAGCGTTATACAACTACACGGACCGTTATGCAACGGATCAACGACTATTTAATACCAAGGGCATACACAGGAAACCACTTAGTGTAAGCTAAGCAGCTACTCAATATATATCACATCTACAAATCCATCGAAAGCGACACAACAACGATACTGAAATGGGTGTTTAAGGTAAAATGCCAGTTTAAGTCAGTGACAGATGACCAACTTTAAAAGCTCATAATTTTCAACGGCCACTGAAGATGAGAATAAAACAACTCACGACTGGGAAGTATCAGAATCTCGTCTTTGTGATTGTTAAGCGCAACACATTAATTGAGTACTATTCGGCCATCAGTGGCGGTTTGAAATTACCATCTTTTTTCGTCG